GTGTGACTAATGGAGGTACAGAATGATGGAGGTACAGACTGGTCGAGGTGTGGACTGGTGGAGGCACAGAGTGATGGAGGTGCCAGACTGGCCGAGGTGTAGAGTGGTGGAGGTACAGAGTGATGGAGGTACAGACTGGTCGAGGTGTGGACTGGTGGAGGTACAGAGTGATGGAGGTACTGACATGTGAGGTGTGGACTGGTGGAGGTACAGAGTGATGGAGGTACAGACTGGTCGAGGTGTGGACTGGTCGAGGCACAGAGTGATTGAGGTACTGACTGGTCGAGGACTGGTGGAGGTACAGAGTGATGGAGGTACAGACTGGTCGAGGTGTAGACTGGTGGAGGCACAGAGTGATGGAGGTACAGACTGGTCAGTGTGTGGACTGAGGAGGTACTGAGTGATGGAGGCAGAATGGTCGAGATGTGGACTGGAGAGGTACTGAGGATGGAGGCACAGACTGTGTGACTGGAGGAGGTACAGAGTGATGGAGGTACAGACTGGTCGAGGTGTGGGACTGGTGGAGGTACAGAGTGATGGAGGTAACAGACTGGTCGAGGGTGGACTGATGGAGGTACAGATTGATGGAGGTACAGACTGGCCGAGGCAGAGTGATGGAGGTACAGAGTGATGGAGGTACAGAGTGATGGAGGTCAGAGTACGAGGACAGACTGGTGGAGGTACAGACTGGTGATGCACAGAGGATGGAGGCACAGATTGGTCGAGGTGTAGACTGGATGGAGGTACAGAGTGATGGTGGGTACAGACTGGTCGAGAGGTGGGACTGATGGAGGTACAGAGTGATGGTGGTACAGACTGGTCTTAGGTGTGACTGGTGGAGGCAGAGGATGGAGGTACAGACTGGTCGAGGTAGACTGGTGGAGGTACAGAGTGATGGAGGTACAGAGTGATGGTGGTACAGACTGGTCAAGGTGTGGACTGGAGGAGGTACAGAGTGATGGAGGTACTGTTGGTCGAGGTGTGGATCGGTGGAGGTACAGAGTGATGGAGAGGGAGACTGAGGAGGTACAGAGTGATGGAGGTACAGACTGGCCGAGGTGTAGACTGGTGGGAGACAGAGGATGGAGGTACAGAGTGACGAGGTACAGAGTGATGCAGGTACAGAGTGATGCAGGCAGAGTGATGGAGGTACAGAGTGGGGGAGGAAGAGAGTGATGGAGGGCAGAGGATGGAGGTACAGAGTGATGGAGGTACAGAGTGATGGAGGTACAGAGGATGGAGGTACAGAGTGATGGAGGTACAGAGTGGTGGAGGTACAGACTGTCGAGGTGTGGACTGGTGGAGGTACAGAGTGATGGAGGAAGGTGATGCAGGTACAGAGGATGCAGGTACAGAGTGATGGTGTGCGAGTGGTGGAGGTACAGAGTGATGGAGGTACAGAGTGATGAGGTACAGAGTGATGGAGGTACAGAGGATGGAGGTACAGAGTGGTGGAGGCTGTAGAGTGATGGATGACAAAGATGGAGGACAGAGTGATGCAGGTACAGAGTGGTGGAGGTACAGAGGATGCAGGTACAGAGTGATGGAGGTACAGAGTGATGGAGGCAGAGGATGGAGGTACAGAGGGGGAGGGCAGAGTGATGGACGGACAAAGTGATGGAGGTACAGAGTGGAGGAGGTACAGAGTGGTGGGAGGTACAGAGTGATGGAGGGACAGAGTGGTGGAGGGACAGAGGATGGAGGGACAGAGGATGGAGGGACAGAGTGATGGAGGTACAGAGTGGTGGAGGTACAGAGGATGTGGAGGGACAGAGTGGTGAGGTACAGAGTGATAGAGGTACAGACTGTCGAGGTGTGGACTGATGAGGTACAGAGTGATGGAGGTCACAGAGTGATGGAGGAGACATGAGATTGATGGAGGTACAGAGTGGTGGGAGGGACAGAGGATGGAGGGACAGAGTGATGGAGGTACAGAGTGATGGAGGTACAGAGTGGTCGATGTGTGTGGACTGATGGAGGTACAGAGTGATGGAGGTACAGAGTGATGGACGCAGAGATGGAGGTACAGAGTGTTGGAGGTACAGACTGATGGAGGGACAGAGGATGTGGTGGACAGAGTGATGGAGGTACAGAGTGATGGAGGTGCAGAGGGGAGGTACAGAGTGATGGAGGTACAGGTGGATGGAGGTACAGAGGAGGAGGTACACAGAGTGGAGGGACAGAGTGCAGGCAGAGTGGACGGGATGCATGACTGGAGTGAGGGACTGGAGGAGGTAAGAGTGATGGAGGTACAGACTGGCCGAGGTGTAGACTGGTGGAGGTACAGAGTGATGGGGGTACAGACTGGTCGAGGTGTGGAGACTGGTGGAGTGCACAGAGTGATGGAGGCACAGAGTGATGGAGGTACAGACTGGTGTAGGTGTGACTGGTGGAGGCACAGTGATGGAGGTAGTGACTGGTCGAGGGGTGACTGGGGAGGTACAGAGGATGGAGGTACAGACTGGTCGAGGGAGACTGGTGGAGGTACAGAGTGATGGAGGGCACAGATCACTGAGGTGTGGGATCTGGAGGTACAGACTGATGGAGGCACAGAGGATGGAGGTACAGACTGGTGTAGGTGGACTGGTGAGGCACAGAGGATGGAGGAAGTGACTGGTCGAGGGGTGGACTGGTGGAGGCACAGAGTGATGGAGGTACAGACTGGTCAGAGGTAGATCTGGAGGTACAGAGGATGGAGGCTACAGATTGTCGAGGTGGACTGGTGTGTAGGTGGACTGGTGGAGGAGGAGAGTGATGAGGTAGTGACTGTCGGAGGTGACTGGGAGGACAGAGTGATGGAGGTACAGACTGTCGAGGGGACTGGTGAGGTCAGAGTGATGGAGGCAGACTGGTCGAGGTGTGGGATAGGAGGCAGAGGATGGAGGTACAGAGGATGGAGGTACAGAGTGATGGAGGCAGAGGATGGAGGTACAGACTGGTCGAGGTGTGGACTGATGGAGGTACAGAGTGATGGAGGTATAAAGTGATGGAGGTACGCAGATGGGGGTACAGACTGGTCGAGGTGTAGACTGATGGAGGTACAGAGTATGGAGGTACAGAGGATGGAGGTACAGACTGGTCGAGGTGTGACTGGTGGAGGCACAGAGTGATACAGGTACAGACTGTCGAGGTGTGGACTGATGGAGGTACAGAGTGATGGAGGTACAGAGTGAGAGGTACAGAGTGATGGAGGTACAGACTGGTCGAGGTGGGACTGTGGAGGTACAGAGATATAGGTACAGAGCTGAGGTGTGGACTGATGGAGGTACAGAGTGATGGAGGTAAAGTGATGGAGGTACAGAGTGATGGAGGTACAGACTGGTCGAGGTGTAGACTGATGGAGGACACAGAGTGATGGAGGTACAGAGTGATGGAGGTACAGACTGGTCGAGGTGTAGACCTGATGGAGGTACGAGAGTGATGGAGGTACTGACTGATGGAGGTACAGAGTGATGGAGGACAGACTGGTCGAGGTGGGACTGGTGGAGGTACAGAGGATATAGGTACAGACTGTCGAGGGGTGGACTGATGGAGGCACAGAGGATGGAGGTAAAAGTGATGGAGGTACAGAGTGATGGAGGTACAGACTGGTCGAGGTGTAGACTGATGGAGGTACAGAGTGATGGAGGTGACAGAGTGATGGAGGTGCAGACTGGTCGAGGTGTAGACTGATGGAGGTACAGAGTGAGGAGGTACTGACTGATGGAGGTACAGACTTGTCGAGGTACAGAGTGATGGAGGTACAGAGTGATGGAGGTACAGACTGGTGGAGGCACAGACTGGTGAAGGTACTGACTGAAGGAGGTACAGAGTGATGGAGGTACTGACTGATGGAGGTACAGACTGGTCGAGGTACAGACTGGTCGAGGTACAGACTGATGGAGGTTCTGACTGATGGAGGTACTGACTGATGGAGGTACAGAGTAATGGAGGTACTGACTGATGGAGGTACTGACTGATGGAGGTACAGACTGGTCGAGGTACAGACTGGTCGAGGTACAGACTGGTGGAGGTACAGAGTGATGGAGGTACAGACTGGTCGAGGTGCGACTGGTGGAGGCAGAGTGATGGAGGTACAGACTGGTCGAGGTACAGACTGGTGGAGGTACAGACTGGTGGAGGTACTGACTGAAGGTAGTACAGACTGGTCGAGGTACAGACTGGTGGAGATACTGACTGGTGGAGGTACAGACTGATGGAGGTACAGACTGGTCGAGGTACAGACTGGTCGAGGTACAGACTGGTGGAGATACTGACTGATGGAGGTACAGAGTGATGGAGGTACTGACTGATGGAGGTACAGAGTGATGGAGGTACTGACTGATGGAGGTACAGACTGGTGGAGGTACTGATTGGTGGAGGTACAGACTGGTGGAGGTACTGACTGGTGGAGGGCCGACGGGAGGCACAGACTGGTGGAGGCACAATGGAGGTACAGACTGATGGAGGTACAGACTAATGGAGGTACAGACTAATGGAGGTACAGAGTGATGGAGGTACAGACCAATGGAGGTACAGACCAATGGAGGTACAGACTGGTGGAGGTACAGACTGATGGAGGTACAGACTGGTGGAGGTACTGATTGGTGGAGGTACAGACTGGTGGAGGTACTGACTGGTGTAGGTACTGACTGGTGGTGGTACAGACTGGTGGTGGTACAGACTGGGTGGAGGTACAGACTGGTGGAGGTACAGACTGGTGGAGGTACAGACTAATGGAGGTACAGACTGATGGAGGTACTGACTAATGGAGGTACAGACTAATGGAGGTACAGACTAATGGAGGTACAGACTAATGGAGGTACAGACTAATGGAGGTACAGACTGATGGAGGTACAGACTGATGGAGGTACAGACTGATGGAGGTACAGACTGGTTGAGGTACAGACTGATGGAGGTACTGACTGGTGGAGGTACAGACTGATGGAGGTACAGACTGATGGAGGTACAGACTAATGGAGGCACAGACTGATGGAGGTACACATTAAAAGTCTCTTATATTACTTGTTAAAGTAGTTTTATTTACTGTTATTGTCTACCGTCATGACAACTTCTATAAGGACATTGACTTTACCAGACCACATTATTTACACTCAAAAGGCCAAACAAACAAAGAATGTACTGCCCTTCTAGCTAGATAAACATTTCTAATTCAATCTCAAGTACAGTAAATCCTCTATTTATAGGACTATATGGAGAGGAATGTGTGTTACATGAAGATGAAAAGGCGTTATACCGGGGTTTATTAGACGTGAAAATCCCATCTCACGGATTACATTATATGGAGAGGAAAATTCGTTATGTGGAGGTTTCATTGTAACTTTATAATAGACTTAACTAAATTACAGCCAGAATTACAGAGAAAAATTCATTTCATATGGTTGTGGATTATATTTGACCTTTGACTGGCTTGAAACGTCAGGTCATGTTAGGTTAGGTTTGGTTTGGTTTGGTTTGGGTGGTTAGGTTATGTTTGGTTAGGTTAGGTTTGGTTAGGTTAGGTTAGGTTTGGTTAGGTTAGGTTAGGATAGGTTAGGTTTGGTTAGGTTATGTTTGGTTAGGTTAGGTTAGGTTAGGCTAGGTTAGTTTAGGTTAGGTTAGATCAAGGATCATATCCTAGTAAGGATATTTCAAACATTTGATTTACCCATAATGCACAGAATCGTGGTATGACTGTTGTAAACAGGCATCATCTTGACTTGAGTACAGAGTAAAGACAGTGTAGTTAAGAGTGTCACCAATAAAAATTACACCATTGTATCCAAGGAGTGTACCGACCCGACAACTTCCTACGGCAAAATCTGGTGCAGCATGTATTGTATTATCTGTGTTCAAGCATTCTAGTCCTTGCTATATAAAATCAGGAAATATGTCATTTCTCATTCGTACTACTTCATACTAGTTCCTTTGGCATAGGAAATGGGTTGCATTAGCTCAGTTTCAAAAACAGGAGCGACCAGATAAGAAGAGATGGGACTTAGCCTCAATATCAGCACATAATACTTCTCATAGGGTGTACTCCTTAAGTAAAGAAGTCCTTTTTAACGATACATTAGTTTAACTGGAATGTATGTAGATATCCAGGTATCTACAGGAAGGTGAGACATTCGTCTTCCCATATGTAGCCAAAAAGAACTCCGAATATATTTGATAATCTTCAAAAAATGAAAGTTATGTTCATCGGTACGTGGGTTTCAGGTGTCAACACTGTGCTTAATTTAGGACGTGAGGGAAGATTTCTTGTAGTTTCTTAATTCTGCAATATCAGTCAATATCAGGTCATTCAGAAGACCATTATACATTGTTCTTGCCACGTCTGACAAAAAACAAAACAATAATATAAGAAAAACATGGTTACATAACTTAATTTACCAGCGACGGTCGTGGTGTTTAACACCGAGAGATATTTGCTCTATTTTCTTAAGTGTACATTGTAAGACAATATCTAGTTTTCCCGAGTATCCTCAGATATTCACTTTGCCAGGTCTGGCAAAAGAAAGATCTTTAAATTGCTAAAAAGTAAAAAAAAGTGGAGTTGCTTCGTCCATGTCATCAGCGAAAAGCCTGGTGTTTCCTTGTAATATTTTTTTTTTGCTATAACACCTATATTTTGGAGTACTATGAAAATATAGGGCATTCATTTTATTATACCTGGCCACAGAAAAGACTTAGCCTGACAACTATCCTCAAAAAAATTAAACAATCAAACGTCAACCAAGGCGTCACCATATGTGACTGCTCCCAACTCACTATAGGACGGTTAGGTTAGGTCAGGTCAGGTTAGGTTAGGTTTGGTGTGAACTTGGGTTGTCTATTTATTTGAGATTGTGAATCATATTACGTATTATTAAGTTTCTTATTCTTTTGTTCTGCTGATAATATCCTAACCCATTGAGAACGGTGACTTAACCCTTGAGTCATTGTATTGAAGGTGTTAAGTTATTCTAGTCAAGGAGTCAAGTCATTGTACTCAAAGGATTAGATCATCTTACTCAAGAGGTTAAATTATCGTAGTTAAGTCATAAGTCACTGTGCTCAAGGGGTCAAGTCATTGTATTCAAGGGGTTAAGTCATTTACTCAAGGGGTTAAGTCATTGTACTAAAGAAGTTAAATCATTGTATTCGAGGGGATAAGTACTGTAGAAGACTCACACAACACACAATGATCATTACACATTGAACATCACCAAAGAATACTACCACATAAAAATCGACCCCCTAATACCTACAAACCACCCCTGACATTACATTATTGTTAATTTCAACCAAAACTATAATAACATATCATTATAAACAAAAAAAACTACTATAATACAGGATAATTCAAAAGTCCTTGTACACCTGCAGCTATTACCAGTACAGTTATTTACCTTGATCTATTTATAACAGTGTAGGTATAACGAGGAACAACCTAACTACAGGTGTGTATTATTATTCACGACAGGTAGACAGGGAATCCTCGCTCACCCTGTAGTTAAAAACAATCAAGGTGGTGCTCATAAAGCCTTCTGGTGAACACTAAGAACATGTGTCTCGGAAAATAGGCAAAATTTCCTTTATCTATTAATCTAATCCTTTATCTATCAATCTAACCATATATCTATCAGACTAATCATCTATCTATCAGTCTAATCCTCCATCTATAAGTCTAATTCTCTATTTATCAGTCGAATCCCTTTTCTATCAGTCTAATCTTCTATCAGTTATAATCCTCTATCTAACCGTCGAATCCTTTATCTATCAACCAAATCCTCTATATATCAGCCAAATCCTTTAACATTCGATCTAATCCTCTATCTATCAGTCTAATCCTCAATCTGTCAGTCTAATCTTCTATCAATCCTATCCTCAATCTGTCAGTCTAATCTTCTATCAATCCTATCCTCAATCTGTCAGTCTAATCTTCTATCAATCCTATCCTCAATCTGTCAGTCTAATCTTCTATCAATCCTATCCTCAATCTGTCAGTCTAATCTTCTATCAATCCTATCCTCAATCTGTCAGTCTAATCTTCTATCAATCCTATCCTCAATCTGTCAGTCTAATCTTCTATCAATCCTATCCTCAATCTGTCAGTCTAATCCTCTAGCGATTGAATCCTCTATCTATCATCTCTTAAGGCTTCTTTGTTTAGCCTCGCTTGGCCAAGATCACTTTATAGGGTTTAGCAAAATTGAAGAAAGGTTTGGAGGGATCACTGTCCGTCGAGAGCTGCACGTTAGGGGGAGGCGAGATGGTGAACCTCTGCAACAGCGCCGACACGAAGATAAACAACTCCATGCGGGCCAGAGATTCTCCCAAACACTGACGTCGACCTGTGTGTGATGAGAGAGATAGAGATGCAGTGTTAGATATGGAGAGAGATGATGATGAGAGACTTCCTAATAGAGATAAGGGTGAGAAAGAGAAAGAGAGAATTCCTAGTATAGACAAAGGTTCTAAAATGAAAATGACATTGTGCGAACTGTGGACCCCTAAGTGACTGACCTAAAGAAAAGGGCAAGAATCCATCTTTCTTGTTGAGGAGTTTCCCCTGTTGGTCGAGGAAATGGTCAGGGTTGAAGTCTTGTGGTCGCTCCCAGTACCTCGGGTCATGATGGCATCCCTCAATACATGCCATAAACAGTGTCCCCTGTAGGGAAATACACCCATCATTATCATTCCTTAATATACCATGATGTATTGACCATGAAGATTAGATATCATAGCTTATTTTTTCTAATTATTATATACACAAACGCTAAACTAACCTAAACTGCCTAATATGATGTAATTTAACTTAACCTAACCTATTCTAGCATATAACCTAAAATAACAACCTAACCTAATTAAATTTAATCTAATCTAACCTGACTTAATCTAACCTAACCTAACATAACATAACAACCTAACCCATTTTAATTTAAACCAATCTAACCTAAACTAATCTAACCTGACCTAACCTAACCTAACATAACATAACATAACCTCACATAACCTGACCTAACCTAACCTAACCTAACATAACCTCACATAACATAACCTAACCTAACCTAACCTCACATAACATAACCTAATTTAACCCACCCTACATCAGGTTAGGTTAGGATTGTAATAGCACTTTTATTTTACTTCTTCTTTTCTTTCTTCTTAATTCTCATTACTCTAATTTCTTTCCTTCATTCTCTGTACACGCGTGAGATGGAGGAAGTGAGGTGGGAGTGAGAGGAGGGAGGAGGTACGAGAGGAGAGCGAGAGGAGGGAGGAGGAGCGAGAGGAGGGAGGGGGAGGCTGATCTGTGGTTAGGCCGGCTTCACACCCAAACGGGAGAGAGGAGAGGGAGAATGGACGGGAACGATGATAAAGGGTGAACGGGAATAACATGCGATAACTGAGACACTGAGGGAAACAGGTGAGTTGTATTGTTATTCAGGACTCACTGTATCGCGGCACACCACCAAGACACTTAGGAGGACATATTCTTCTCAATACACAAGGAGGGAATTGAGAACTAATCATAAAGGTTCTTCGTTTATTAATGACGTTACTCAGAATAGAGAGTTACACTTTCAAAACAATAACCTATTCCCCTGGCTAGTTAAAAAGGGGTCACATGAATTGCAGTTTATTTCGTGAAACGGATAATCCTTAAGTGTACTTACTTTGAGATACATTTATATCGCCATGCTGAAAACCTGCCCACCCACTGCGTCTTTTTTTTTTAAGGAATTAGCCCACCGGGGCACAGGTCGAAAGACCCACAACGGAGCCTAGGAGGGGAAAAATAAGAACAGCAAGAAATTAAAAATAGAAAAGAAAAAGGTTATACTGTATTAATCTACACCACGAAGATGCCGGAAAACCAGCTTTTTAAAGTAAGTCAGATTGTGTAAGTATGGAAACACAGAAGAAGGCAGAGCATTCCACAGTTTGGCTCTGTGAGGAAAGAAGGATGTACTATAACGGGTTATTCTAGTGTGACCGACATCCACAGAGAAACGGTGGGCACCGCGGGCAAGACGTGTGTTTCGAGCCCACGGCCTTGCCGGCGGTACACAGGATGCCAAATCCACCGAACATTGCCCGTTAAAGTACCGGTAAAAGAGAGAGCGTGAAGCAACAATGAGGCGAAGAGAAAGAGAAGAAGGATTGTCAATTAAAGGAAGAGCGTTAATAAGACGAAATGCCTTTGATTCCACCCTATCTAACAGTTGGACAGAAGAAGAGCCACCCCAGACATGAGAGCAGTACTCCAAGTTAGGACGAATGAATCCCTTATAAACTTGAAGCAACTGCTCAGGAGTGAAGTAGTTACGGCATCTGTACAGCATTCCCAACTTTCAGGAGGCAGCCTTAGCAATGGTGTTAATGTGTGACTTCCATGACATATTGGAGGAAATGGTGAGGTCTAACATATCTATTTCAGAATTTGGCAGAATGATAGCGTCCTAAAATGTAATTGGTGGGAGATCATCTAATTAAAGAAAGTGTAATTGGTAAATACCGAGTTTTATTACTATTGAATTTAACCAAGTTTGTACCTCCCCATTCAGAGATGCTGCAGAGATCCGCAATGATAGAAGTAATGATATCAGCTCTAGAAACAGATCTACTTTGAGAGTTAGGGGAAAGGGGAAAATGTGAAGAAGATTGAAGAGTAGAATCACCATCGTAAGAATGGATAGAATTAGTTGTAGTGTGAAGTAAACCATTGATACAAAGAAGGAAGACAGTTGGTGAAAGAACAGAACCCTGTGGGACATCACTAGTGGTAGAGATAGAGCAAGAGAGCGATCCCCCGACAACAACTGCCATGGATCGGTTCTCAAGGCAGCTAGAGATTAAAAAACAAAGTGCGGGAGAGAAACCATAAGAGGGAAGTTTATAAAGCAAAGACTTGTGCATTGGAGATGTCGAGGGCCACGATGAAAGTTTCCCATAATCCTTAAGATGGGTGAAATAGGAGAGCAGATCACCAGTAGATCTCGCCTGGCGAAAGCCATACTGGTGACCCGACAAAAAAGAATGGCATTCAAGGTGACGGAGAAAATGGGAGTTCAAGATAGTTTCGAAAATCTTAGACAGGGATGAAGTTAAGGTAATGGGTCAATAACTAGAGGGATTAGAATGGTCACCCTTCTTCGGGATAGGCTGAACCAAAGCATGCTTCCAAGAAGAGGGAAAAGTTTGGTTTTTGAGGCAGAGGCGAAAGAGGCGAGCAAGCACAGGGGCCCGAGCTTCAGCACGCTCCCTCAGAACACGAGGGGGTATTCCGTCCGGTCCATTTGCCTTACTCACATCCAACCTGGATAACACACCGGCAACCCTGCGAGTGGAGATTATAGGAAAGTGCGTAGGTTCAGTAGGAGGTGTAGGGGTAGGACGGATAGAGTGGGAATCGTCTAAGGTGGAATTAGAGGAGAATAAGGTGCCAAAAGGATTGGCTTTGTCAGGGGGAGAGTTGGCTATAGAGTTATCAAGTCGGAAACGAGGAGGAAAATAAGGAATGCAGCTCACAGATATTTTTGGTTAAGGACCATAAGGATTTGCTAGAAGAAGAGTTAGTCAGTTTGGCCCTACGATTACAACGATTCCTAGAAGTAATGAAAGAGGTGTGGGTAATAGGAGAAGGAGATAGTTTCATAGCTCGATATGCCCTATCTCTCACCCTGCATGCAAGAGAGCAGGAGCGATCTAACCATGATTGTAAAGTAAAGTTTTGGTAGAAGATGGGATAAATTCACTCATACCGCCCTGTATAACCCCAGCAATGCTGTCAGCACATACCGAGGCGTCCCGAGTGGAAAAGCAACAGTCATCCCAAGGAAAGTCAGTGAAGAATTCTCGCAAGGATTGCCAGCTTGCCCTCCGATGGTGTCATAGTTGACTTTAGAGGAGGGTGAGGGAGGTGGTCGTGCCCAGTTTGATTTAATAGAAATAAGATTGTGATCAGAAGACCCTAAGGGGGCAAAAATTTGCTATGAATAGTGTGAGGGGTTAGAGGTAAAACAAAGATCAAGAATGTTAGCAAGTTGATCGTGTCGATCAGGAACGCGTGTAGGGTATTTGATAATTATTTGTTCCAAATCATCAAGTTGGGAAAAATAGAGTGCCTCAACTCCACCTGGGTCATCCCTTGCAGAGCCAAGCCACTCTCTGTGATGTGCATTGAAATCCCCTAGGTAGAGGATCTCGGTGTTGGGGTGTGTGGACAGCAACGACTCATGGCAAGAAGTGAGATAGTCAAAGAGTTCGGAATAGTTGGTAGAATTGGGAGAACAGTATAGGAAACAGAAAAATAGTCACAGTTGGTAGAGATATTTTGAGCCAGATGACATCATAAAGGGGAGATTCAAGATCCGTGAGTCGGGCTATAGGTGTACGTGTGTTGCAGTAGGCGCATACACCTCTCTTAGAACGGAAGGAGGTATAAAAGTTGTAGTTGGAGACTTGAAAAGGTTTGGGTGAAGCTGCTTTGGTCAGTTGAAGTTCGGAAAGTAGTAAGAGGTCGGGCGAAGAGGTTAATAGATGGTGCTCCACAGAAGGAAAATTGAGTCTCAGTCCGCGAATTTGGGAAAGATGAAGTGTGTAAAAAGCCGATCCTCCAGCAACCGCGGTGGCGTCAGTTGAGGCTCCAATAACTTGATAATCAAGTCGTGCCCTGAGCCCGGTTATATTTGTTGTGTTGTCAATAGTAAGATAGACAATTGAGACCCTGCAATTGTGTATAAATGAGGCAGAAAGACAGATCAGCAACCTGGGGCTTGGTCACAATTCTCTTGATGCCATATGGCAGCAGGATCTACCATTAGACAATACAGTATGCTTCCAATATCTTCCCAGGCGGCAGTACCTCCCTGTTTGATAGCTGCGCACTACCTATTACACTTCACTACCTCTAACCAGACTGTGTGTTTGAAAACTGAGTGCCCTTCTTGCTGGGGCACAAACTCAGCTTCCAGCCATTCAGCACAGTTAGGCCTATGATGTCACACTCAGAGGTCACTGTGATTGGCTCTTGCCTCAGGCTTCTCAGGCACTCATAGATTCGGCGGGAACACTGTCGTAAAGGCGTTATGGCGAGTAAATTTTTTCTATGCTGAATTTTCCTACGTATTTCATCTAATACATGACACAATTTACTCTAAAAAACCATGGCATTGTTACAGGATAGCAGTGGGAGGTAGGTTAGGTTAGGTTAGGTTAGGATGGGTGTGGGATGGCGGAAGGTTAGGTTAGCTTAGCATTTGGGTGTTTAATCATCAGATGAACAAAAGAACATAAGAACATAGGAACATAAGAATGGAAAAAAACTGCAGTGGGTCTATTGGGCTAAACTGAGCAGTCCCGTTTACACCCAACCCCTATCTCTCATATAATCCGTCCAACCTATATTTGATGCTATCCAGCGTATTTGTGTTAATGATTAAGTTTGGTAACTTGTCCCACTCATCCTCTACTCTATTTCCAAACCAATGTTTATCTATCTCGTGCCTACGTCTAAATTTGCCTAATTTGAAACCATTGCTACGAGTTCGTTCCTGGAGGGATAATTTAAGTACAGTACCTTTGAATTATCACCTATGTTTAACCCTGACTTCCGTTTATACACCTCATTCATATCAGCCCTCACTCTCAAGGAAGTGCAAAATCAGATGCTTTAATCTATCTCTCTCCTCAAGGTTACTAATGCCCGGGATTGGTCTTGTCATCCTCCTCAGTATGCTTTCTAAAGGTTGTACAGTATATCCACTTTGTAGTACGGTGACCAGAACTGAACTGCTTAATGCAGATGAGGTCTCACAAGAGCAGGATATAGTTTTGGGATAACCTCGCTAGTCT